TATCATCTCATTCTGGGCTCAGAAAAAAACCTTGTGAGCTTGAACCATTTGGGACATGTAATAACTGAAGACAGAAAAAAATATAGCCTGTTAAAAGCAGGTTTCAAATTACTATCATTTAATGTTTTAAAGAAATGGATTAACCATTTGCTATATTCACAGCAAATTTGCTATGCCTTCCGTAAGAATTAAAGAAAAAAGCAATCTTGGCCTTCAATAAATATCCAGTAACTTCAAATTCACTTTATTTCTTCTAATTCATGCGGCCATCACAGTACTGAAGTACCAATAGCTACAAATGTGAGGAGCCCAAATAAATGTCAAAACTTGGAGACCAGCAGATGGCATAATAGTTATGTTGCTGGACTCCCATGTAGTTGACTACAGTTCGAGTCTCGGACCAGGTAACTTAAACTCACACTGAGCATGTGTGTGTGCGTGCCCAAGATCTCAAGAGGAAAATGGAGGAGAAGGGATTGTGGCATGGCCATCCCCCTCTCACCTTCTGTCTCTCTGTCTGTCTCTGTTTTTCTAGAGAACACATGTATCCTATAGCAAAAACTCTCTTAAATTAATTAATTAATAAATTAATTAAATGTCAGAACTTGATTAAAAATGGAATGATTTTCAACAAGTAGGAATATTTAAAATTCCATTTGTACATAATCATTTAAGTAAAAAGAATCTAAACACCATGAAAACATAAAAATAGAATTCTTGTACATTTTTCACATGCACAACATACTGGGAGAAATATTCATTGAGATGATTATGGAGATTGGACTTTAAAAGATGTGAAGCATATAATTAAACTCTACCAAAAAGTAGCAGCCAGCAATTTACCACAGGACATTCACACTGGACTCAAAGAACTAGAGTTAGTAAATCACTAAGCAATATCATTTGGAGAATTGTAATTGTCCTTTAGTTCAATTTAATGTACCAGGAAATGGCTCTGCATGACATTTCATTACTGTAAACAATGTCATTTAGAAATCCTTGTAATTTCCTTCACAAATTCTACAAATGGAACTATAGTCTGTTCAAAAGTCATTTGAGCAAGCATGTAAAATTCAAGCTTTTGACAAATTACAACATGTTTCTTCTTAGGAGATCTACGACGGGTTTCCTAATTTAACAGTGATCAAAATATTCCTGATGAATATGCTTATTTTTAAAATATATTCTGTCTTGAAAGTGAATTAACTATTTCTTCTGTAATGTTTATTAAATAAATTGTATCTTCACTGCTAATTTTTAACAAGTCAGATATTTCCCATTTTCCCGTATCAGAAGTACATGACTATAAGCCTTTCAAACAGGGGAAGTACATCCTCACTCACAGATAAAAGAATTCTCTACATCATGCCAAGGGATTTACGACTAAACTGGAACAGATACACAGTACTATAGCAAAGGAAAGAAACAGAAGCCAACTTACAAAAAAAAAAAAAAAAAAAAAACCCACACACAAAACTTTGGAAAACCACAACTTCTAAAAGTTGTTAATATTTTACATGATACTCACATGGGGGAAAGAGATACATGGTTGTGCACTCATTAATATTATATTAAAAAGTATTCAACCATTCAGGAAAGTAAGTCGATATACTTTTTTTTTTAGAGGGTGCATGCACTTGCCAGAAAGACAGAGAGAAACAGAGAGCAAAAAAAAAAAATCACCCTCCAGGGGGATGGCCATGCTGCATTCACTTCTCCTTTCTCCTCTCAGGATCTTGGGTATACACGCACACGTGCCTAGCGTGAGTTTAAGCCACCGGGTCTGGGACTCGAACCGTGGTCAACTACATGGGAGTCCAGTGACATAGCCATTATACCAACCGCTGGTCCTAGGAAGTTTAAAATAGTGAAATTTTTTTTTTTCAATTGCCAAAGAGCACAGGTACTTGCCAAAGAAAGAGGGTAGCCATAAGAAATGGTGTAAAAGAAAGAAAGCACTTCCAATGGGGTGTGGTCATGTTACAATCCTTTCTCCTCTATTTCTCCATTTTGTCAAGATCTTTGGCATGCATGCACAAGTGCCTGATGTATTTTTCAAGTCACAGGATTCAAACTGTAGTTGGTCATATGGGATCCAGCTCCCTTAACCACACAAGGCAACAAGGCTGGCCTGAGACATTTTTCCATATTCATAGTTGTCTACAGTACTTCAAGAATATCGAATATGTACTTGTGGGGCCATGGAGATAACTCATCTCTATCATTCAAGTTAAAAAAGAAAAAAGCGAAAATCCCAAGACTTATTCTCATTTAACATCCAAAACGGCACATGGGCTTTCTTATTTGATTTCTCCAGCTGATGAACAGTGGAGATGCCCAGATGTTGAGGATCATTTGGGCTCCATCTAGTCTCAGTCACAATGAGTGCCCTAGATATTTAGCAATTTTGTCTTTCAAGATGGGAAGGATTAGGCTCTACATCAAGTACATGAAAAAATCCATTTTAAATTATACAGATTTATTGCTTGCATTGAACAAACTCAGGTCAAAATTTTTCAAAAATTCTTATTTTCCTATTTTGTATATATTTCAGAAATTAGTATAACTAAAAGAGCAAGTAGTTTTCCACAAACTTTCAAGCTACTGTTTGAATAGCTTAAAGAAAACAGACTATACTATAATTGATACCATAGAAAACATACGGAAATAAAAAAACATAAGCAGATCAGATATTTAATATTTAAACATACAAAACCAAAACAATATAGAATTATAGAATGATCATTACTTTTTTCCTAAAACTATGTAATAAGTATAGATGATCAATTTTAAAAAACTTCCAGAACTTACATTTACTAACAATTACTGAACACTATTTTAAAATGATTTTGAAACCTCCAAATAAATAGAGTTAACCCCCACATCTTTTAATTTTAACAAATAATGTACATAAATACATTTAAGCCAATGTCATTATTTTCATTAGACTGAATTTTTTTAGGTAGAAAATGGCTATGGCATTATATTGCAACATAACCTTTATTAAAATCAACTATATAAATATTATGTCAAGTAACAGCAGAAAGGTTAGGAAAATACAAATACAATTATGGAATATTTTTCCTTAAAAAATCTGCACCAAAAAAAAATGTAATTGCAATTGAATAAAATGCAAATCCAGAAAACTGTCTTCATCTCATTTAAAGAAGAGATATGATAGAAAACAACTTTCCTTCTCTTTTTAATCAACAGACTATGCATAACTAACTATTACCTTATTTAAATTTAAATAAATATATCTTGCGGATAGGGTAAACGTATATTATGAGGGTCATGAACAATGATCTTATACCGATAAATTCAAATAGGAGCAAATTATGACCGTATCACTCAATAAAGCAGGATGGAAAAAGATACAGGAATCAGGAAAATAGAAGAGAATCCAGAAATAAAAAACTGAGAGGTTGGAGTGCCTTCAGAGCTTAGTTCTAATGTAGTCATAATAACAATAGCAATAGCAGTATTTATTATGTTCATGTTATTTATAAAGTATAATGTTAAGTATTTTATCATATTTCTTTTAATTCTCAGATAATGATGTAATATAAGTATTAGTAACTGTTTCTAACAGCTTTAATGAGAATTCACATATACAATTCACACATTTAAAGTAAACAATTCAATCCTGTTTAGTATATTTTAAGGTATGTGCAACCATCACCATAGGCAATTTTAGAATTTTTTTCTTCATCTCGAAATGAAACAGCATCATTTAGCAATTATCCCATCTCCTTTTCTCCTTTCTTCAGCCCTAAGCAACCACTAATCTACCTTATGTTCCTATAGATTTCTCCATTATGGATTTTCATATGAATGAGATCATATAAAATGTGGTCTTTAGTGACTGTTCTTATTTTTCCACTTAACATATTTCCCATGTTCATCCATACAGTAGAATATATTATTAGACCTTCATTTCTTTTTATGGCCAGATAATATTCAATTGTATGGAAATACCAATTTCTGTTTATTTATTTGTCTTCCAATGACACTTGAGTGGGTTTTCACATTCTGGCTATTAAGATTAATGTTTCTATGAACATTCATGCACAAATTTTTGTGTGTACTATGTTTTCATTTCTCTTGGGTCTATAACTAGGTCTTTTTTAAAAATTTAATTTATAAATTTATTTATTTTAATTTGACCAGAGGGAGAGATACAGAGAGAGAGAGAGAGAGAAGGAAAGTGAGAAAGCAAGCCACTAGGTCTGGGACTCATACCGTGGTTAGCCATGTGGAAGTGCCCAGTGCCTTAACCACTATGCCACCTGCTGGTTCCCTATACCTGGGTCTTATGGTACTTGATTTAATCATTTGAGCAACTGAAAAATTGTTTTCAAAATAGCTATATCATTTTATATTCCCACCAGCAATACATAAGGTCTCTCCTCTCTCTACACCCTTGCCACCACTTGTCATTTGACTTTTTGATTTTAGCCATCCTAGAATAAATATGTTTTTGATTTGTGTATCCCTGATGACTAATGATACCAAGAACCTATTTCATATGCTTGTTTATTAACTTCATTTTACATATGAGAAAACTGAAAATCCTCAAGATCATATGCATATAGCCATATAACCAATAAGTTGCACAGATTGGCTTCAGATGCAGCTCTGTAAGTTCCCAACCTATCCTCTGGATCACTTTGCCCAGCTGCTTCCCAACCAGCCATTACGATGAAGCCATCCCCCTCTCAGTCTAACTCTACTGATGTTAAAGCCAGATCTACAAGAAAATTTGCCAAAGGACACTTAGAACTCTATTCAAGAATGTCTGATGCTCAATTAATCCCTTCATGATTTTTCTTTGACTACAGTTTCTCAGCCATGGTCTACTCTTCCTCAGTAAAGTAATATCATCTCTTATCTTTGAAATAGTAAATCCAAATGTAAACACAACTTTCTAGCTGTAGTATTGAAGTGATTAAATGAATAAACAACATAAAACAATTTGACAAAGAGAAAAGAATCCTTACTGTGTAGATTCCCAGTTGCATGATAATAACAGTGGTTGAAGAGTTGTTAGACATCACCTAGCAACAGGAAGAAAAGGATTGAAGTAAGTAATAATATGTATGACTCAGAACAAGAAAATTTATCTGAAGCATGGAATATTTAGCTACTTTCCAAGATGCAGGCAAGTGACTTCTGTTCTCATTACCCAAGAAATCATGGACCATGACTTTGTCAAAGAATCACAAAAATTATTTTACTTTCTCTATAGGCAAAAGTGTCACACACTTATGGACCTGAAATTTGAAGGGCACTGGGAGAACACCAGACTATCCAATTGTGCAAAATCGAAGCATCACGTTACCTTCAAATTACTCCTAAATATAAATACAGTGCCCTGTTATTCTTAGGAATATATGTCTTGTCTTCCAAAGTTAGGACCAAAGTACACAATGACTATATAGTTTGAAAGCAAATGAAGATGAGTCACTATAGAAATACTGAAGCAATTCACTTGTCCTGCATTATCAACAAGACAAACTAATCGAGCAAACATTTGTGAAACATTTTCTCTGTACTGTAGCATCCTTGCTACTGAGGAAGGAATAAAGGAGTGCAAAATGCATTTTAACATCTGAATTAGAGAATACTCTGCAGTTGAGACTTTGTAATGGAAATAAGTACAGTTAATCCAAAATAACCATAAAAGTTCCTCTTAAAGAAAACTTATTTAATAATTAGCTACATTGGAATCAGCAGATGACGTATTGATTAGGTCACTAGACTCCCACATAGTTGACTGTGGTTCGCATCCCAAACCTGGTGGCTTAAAACTCACTCCAGGCAGGTGTGTGTGTGCCAAAAATCCCGAAAGGAGAATGGAGAAGAGATTGCAGAGTGGCCATCCCCCCTGGGGGAGTGATTTCTCACTTTCTGTCTCCCTGTCTCTCCAGCAAACACATGCATTCTATAGCAAAAATCTCTCTTAAAAAAAATGAACTACATTAAAATACTAGACATGAGTAGAAAAAAATGAAATGTCACATGAACATCAAATTTTCAAGGCATTTAAAATTTTACTCATTGTCATCTCACAAGTTTTGTTATTCTAAACCTTAAATTTAGCCCAGTATACATTCTAGCATGATCTAAAAATCTTAGCTCACTTATATATATTCATTACCACACTACTTAGATTCCGTATCTCTAAGACCTTAGCCATATAATAACTACATATGAATAAACATTTAATACCAAAGCACTCTTGTTACAAAAGAACATCTTTTATTTAGTAACATTTGTCTCACATATACAAACCTGTGATTCCTGAATTAATGGCTAAAATATTTTTTTTCTAATGATGTTCCTTCATGCTGTTTGTTTCTTGCCAGATTTATCATCCAAATTAATGTCTCCTAAACTTAAGGTCAGTACTAATTTTCTTTTTGATGGCTGCAGATTCAGTACCTTATTTTATGCTAGAAAAATAACTTAATGCCAATATTTTTAGCACTTCATCACCCTTTAAAAAATATCAGAGCAGGGCTCAGGAAATAAAAGACAAACCAGAGATACTGACCCTTATTTCCAAGAAGAAGAAACAAGTAGCCTTTGCTTAATGACGTGAGGTGAACAAAATTCTCTCTAGTTTCCCCTTCCTTCCTTTCTGTTTTCCTTAGAATATTCACTTTCTATTTGTAACATTCTTTTATTTATTCCTATTACAGATCTCTGCTTTTTAAAAAGCAAAAACTTGTCCAACAAAGGTAGCTGGTTGGTCACTACTGCCTGGCCCAGGTTACATGGAGGCCTGAGTTTGATTCTCAGTACACCCTAAAAAACTGGGAGCTGTGGAGTATGTCCATAGTCGAGTTTGAGGCTGGCCTGGTCAACACAGTAAGACTGTATAAAAAATACCACATACAAAAAAAAAAAAAATACCACATACACTCATTAACCCCACACCAAAAGTAGAAAAGCATAATATGCTGTTTATGGACTTTACAATAAATCATGCTATGATGTTTAGAAATTCAAGCTTCATTCCAATTCAGCAATTGTCTATATTATCTGAATTTTGTGTTGCGCTTACTACACGGTATTATTTCAAGATCTTGAAAACATCCTAGGATTCCAAAAATTCATAACTGTTTCTCCTCACCTACTGACCAGTGTCATAATTCCTCTTGGGATGGCAGTTCATATTCTTTACTTAACACTCTTGTGTGAAAGAAAGGATAAGATAAATTTCATGTGTTCTGGGAAAAAAAAATCAGGGTGCATTAAGTGTTGAGGGGAAGTAAGAGATGTGAAGATGCATGAAGACTGCCATTATAAAAAAATAAAAATTATAGGAAGTAGTCCCACACTGTGAGGGGTAATGTTATTGTTTGTTTGTTTGAAAGAGTGATTCTCATCGATGTTACCTTTGAAATGTACTGTTGTTTTACAGAAGCCATGGCAGTGATCCAGTCTACCTGGATCTCAGTGTCTCTGGAGAAGTGTAAATTGCAGGTGATGATTGTGGTCAAGTATAAGGCGGGTTTAAGGTTCACTTCTGACACTGAACTGCATGACTTTAGAAAAAATTTATAGCAACTCTGAGCTCCAGTTGTTTCAGTGTGAAAGGATGGTGATAACTGATTTAGAGCTGCTTGGCAAATCACTATGGCAAAGTACTGGGTCATCAAAAAAGTCATGATACATTTTTCTGTTTTTCTTTTTTAGAGAGAGAGAGTTTTACTATATGGTGTGTGCTCTCACCAGAGAGAGAGAGAGAAAGCAAGAAATCACCCCCCTCTGGGCAGCAGGGGGTGACCATGGCACAGTCTCTTCTCCTCCATTCTCCTTTTGGGATTTTGGGCACATATGCACACATGCCCGGGCATGTGTTTCAAGCCTCTGGGTCAAGTACTCAAACCATGGTCAGCCATGTGGGAGTCCAGTGACACAATAATTATGCCAACTGTTGCTCCCTCTTTCCATGTTTTTCTATGCAAAAATGTGCTATATAAGGACATCTAATACACCTGACACCAAGGATGAAGTAATTATGTTTTTAAAAATCTGCATTCAAGTATGAGACAAACTTTCCCCAAGCCCTTCCCAAGCCCTGCTTGGTTTTTCTTACTCTTTCCACAATACTTGGAAATCATATGTTCAAATTTGTTACATGGTAAAGTTAGCAATAAGGAGATAAATAACTAATAATCAACTTAAAAATGAGGTCAATGGCAAAATGGAATGTTGTCTTTGTCAAAAGTATTTCCTGGTATCTAATAAATATTTGGAAAATATTTACTGAATGTATACATATTTACTAAAAGGATTGAGAAAAAAAATAGAAAGTAGAGAGACCAGCAGTTAGCATAATGGCTATGTCGCTGGACTCCCACGTAGTCGACCGTGGTTCAAGTCCCGGACCCGGTGGCTTAAACTCACGCTGGGCGCGTGTGCGTGCGTGCCCAGGATCCCAAGAGGAGAGTGGAGGAGAAGGGATTGCGGCGTGGCCATCCCCCCTGGGGGGTGATTTCCTGCTTTCTGTCTCTCGGTCTCTCTCTGTCTGTCTGGCGAGTCCACATGTCCTATAGCAAAAACCTCTCAAAAAAAAAAAAATAGAAAGTAGACTCCTCACAATCTAAAGATATTTAACTTTTTCATTTATTTGAACTTAATTTTAATGATAGTGAGAAGGAAAGTATAGCAATATTTAAACTCCATGATTCTGAAGGGCAAGTCAATGAACTCTTATCAGAACCACTGATATGGTTTGCTAAACACCCCCTTAGATCTTTGTTTTGACCACCATGCCATCTGCTGGCCCCTAAAGCTTCTTATTAATATTTAATTAAAATTTTAAAAAAATATTTCTATCTATCTTTAAAATATAATATGTAATAAAAAATCATTTATAGCTAATATATACCAGAAAACTTTAACACACTCATAGACACCATCAATTTACTTGTACTATCAGGCTACTTATTTTGAAATAATACTTGTAATAAATACTTTGCCATTTCTCTACCTATATGTGAAAGTCATGTAAATATGTCATTTATTGGAAAAGTGTCAATATGTGATAACTTTTCCTTTTTTTTTTCTTTCTCTAACAATACAGGGTCTCACTATGTTGCCCAGGCTAACCTTGAACTCACGGTTCTCCTGCCTCACACTCCTGAGTTGCTGAGAATACAGAAATGCAATATCACATCTTCCTGGCTCTTTTTCCCCCCTAGGTTTTTGCTACAGGGTGTGTGTACTTGTCAGAGAGAAATAGAGAGAGGGAAAGTGATAAATCACCCCCAGGACAATGGCCACACATATCTTCTCCTCTATTCTCCTGGGATTTTGGGCACACACACACACATGTGCCCAATGTGATTTTTGAAGCTGCTGCATTCAGGACTTGAACCGTGATCTGCCATGTGTGAGTCCAGCATCTTAACCACCATATCACCAGCTGTTCTAGGCTTTTCCTTTTGAATACAAGCCTGAGCTTAAACCAAATAAAATTTTAAAAACCCAGCTTTAACAATGTTTAATTAAATGGCAGACATGGCTCAAGAAAAACTGTTTTTTTTTTTTTTATATATTCTACTCTTGGAACATTAGTCAACATAAAATGAACAAATTCTCTCTTCTGAGATAGTATTATATTAAAAATAGTTTAAATACTTACTACATTGAAGTATATCTCAAGTAACTTTTTAATATTTTTATCAGTAAATTAAATTATATTCCTTGAAACCAAAAATGGTGAAGCAGAAATTGTATGCTATACAGAAAAGCATTACTTGTAAAGACCATGCTTCCAGAGGTGTCGGTATGTAATTTATCCATTAAAAGACTCTATCTTTAAAGTGTGAACTTTTCTGAGATAGTCAAGTAATGTGTTCTAAAATTTACTTTGCCGGGCTAAAAGTTGTTCGTTATTTAGGGCAAAATGCCAATTGAAGTATTAGGTTGTCAGGAAAGTCATGACATATTTTTCTGTTTTTCTATGCAAAAAGTAAAAGAAAGTAAGATGTCACTGTATTTTCTGACAAAGAAGCACATAAACTAAATATCTATTATAATA